GCCCTCTTCCTATCATATACCCTGTGAATTTCAAAGAGAGAGCAATGCCCCTGCATTTCACTATACCTCGTCAGAAGTCCAGTGCCCAGCCACGGCTGCAGGAATTTGTACAGGTATGATTTGTCTATATGTTTCGAACTGTTCAGAATAACCTGTCAGAAAAATCAAAGGGGAGGAAAAAACATCACTTATTAGACGGAGAGAGATTTCTTCAGCTGAGATTACTTCACACAACCTCAGTTCCTCCAAAAAAATGCCCCGAGCCTCAGTAAAATGCACACTATTTCAGTACAAGCTGGTACACAGGGGGAACATTGAGTTCACACCCTCAAGTCTTTCAGTAAGTATCCCAAGCCTGAGTAAAAGTGAAATACTCAAAAACTACCACTCCCACCTTCCATTATCTTCCTGAAAAAGAAAAACCTGTGTCACAAAGTCACTGGCAGAGCTCAGAGAAAACCCAGTGCTTTCCAGCCCTAACCAAACCATCTCTTCAGTAAACACTTCAGCAAAGAAACAACCCTATCTTCCCAGCTCAGGGACAATTATTGTCAGTAGGAAAATGACTACATTTCATGGCATCAGGACAGACTCACCACATTCTAATGCAGAAGTCAGTCAAACAGACACAAACATTGCAACCTGCGTTGCATAATGTTCTATCCCCATTTCAGTGGTCCCATCTTCCCTGCTATCTGCTTGTCAGCTCTCACCTTGGGAGCAGAAGCTTTCACACATGTGAAAACAAAGCTAAAGGAGATGCTTCTTTTTATAAAACATACTGAGTCAGTGCTTTCATTTGCTGGCCATCTTCAGTATTTATTTTTTTCCAAGACTAGGCTTTTTATATTCTTCCACTTTCAGCCTTCCTTTAGCACTGGGTCAGAGGACAGTCTCAAGTAAAATCAGTCCAAGCCCTTTTTTTTTTTTTTAAATTGCATGGAGAGAATAGAAACTAACAGGTTGGGCACTGCTTTGCACGATAGTAGAATTGACAGGAGACAAGCACACTCACCTCCACACTGTCAGGGTGATACAAAACCATGATAGGCAACGGTCCTACCCAAAGTTTGAACAATGGACAACTCCTGAGCTCTTCAACGTAGAATTGTAGTTGTTTAAAAAAAGCTGGAATGAAAAAAGTAGATTAGAATTTTTTAAAAGGGGATTTTTTTTTTCTGAATAAGCAAGACTTCTGTAATGAACTCTTTTTCACCATATGCCCTGTAATTATGTTTTTGTTGTAGTTTTATCTTGCTACTGTGACCAAGCAGCATGTTTTGCACCTATCTATTGGCTGTACTGCAAGAGCATTTCTTTATGTCTGCATTTCTGAAGGCACTCTATTCTAGAGAAACCCCTCCTAGCTGTAGGTAAGGCATTTTGATTTAAGCAGTCTCAAAGCACTGCAGCATAGGCCTTCTGTATTGCAATGCTCTTTGTAACAATTAGAGCCAAATCAAACTTTACCAAGGCTATGCTTACATTTTCGCCTATCTCATACTGGCCAAAATGCTGTGTCAGGATTCTTCTTTACTTTACAGCATTGAGCCTTTTCCCATCTGAGACCTCACTGATGGGTTCTACATTTGTGGTGCACACACAAGTGATGTTGGGCACAGTCATGGCAGAGCACTGCGCAGGAACCAGCATCGCTAGAAATGTCTAGTTTCCGATAGCTGGATTCCTGCAAAAAAATCTTTGGAGCCCTTACACTGTTACTGCTTGTCTGTGAATTACTTCTTTCTCCAACATGCTTAAATCCTGTCACTCCCTCACAGCCCTAACCATCAGCGATGGTTTGCAATTCTAGCAGGGGCTTTTGGCAGCTCGCTGCTCCAGGATTAAACTCCACTCTTGCCCTTTTAGAAACCTTACTGAAGGGTAAGTGACTGCTTATGGGGCCACTGTGGATTTGGCAATTCAGGTGTCCCCATCTCTAAGGGCACTCATAGGATCATTTATGCCATGGACCACCTGAGAGATACCACTTTTGTTCAGCTGCCAGTTGGACTTCATGCCAGTGAGCTCAGCAGTCCAGCCAATTCTCCACCCACATTATTATCCACTTATCCAGTCTGCATCTTGTCAGTTTAGCTACACAGAAAGCATGGGAGATGAATAAAGTTAAACACCATCTACTGGTCTTCCCCTGCTCACAGATCCAGCTATCATATCACATAGGGCAATCAGGTTCATTCTGCAGTTCCAGAGGAGGTGGCCGCTATCAGGATGTTCAAGGATTAAACATGCCTTTGCCCTTTCAGAAACCAAATTAAACAAGGCCTCTGCAGAGTTGAAAATTCAAAGGTCCCCAAAATCAAGGGAAAAAAAAAAAAAAGGAAAAAAACTAGTTTCCTAATAGATACCCAAATATAGCATTCCCTAGTCTTAGGTGAAGTTCTAATGACACCTCATCCAAAAGGCTTAAGAGTGTCAGATTATTTTGCTATTTATTTTAATATTTTTCTCACAGCATCACCATGATTAAAATATCACAATTTTCCAGCATTTGTCTACCAATATTAATAAATAAAATCACCATCAGATGAAAAGTATTTTTTCCTTCTGCTATAAAACCCTACCCTTTTTTCTAAAAACTATCTTATTTTTAGTTGTCACATTTTTAATGAAAAAGATTGTAAAACATCACTCATTTTTACATGAATAAACAAGAACAAAGACAGATGGTCATGGACTTAACTAAAGCATGGAGGCTAGGTGACTCCTGCTGGCAAAGGAGATTAGAGACTCCATAGAATGTAGGAGTTTCCATCGGATTGCTTTCTGGAGAAAGAAGCAATGTTCTTCTTTGTTTTGTTTTTTTAAGAAGATTTAGAAAGAAAGAGGAAAAAAAAAAAGAAAAAATATTTGTCTCTCAGTCAGGCTCTTTTACACGTCCTGACTATGATCCTGCTACTGCTTCCCCAAAGTCAACTTCAGGGAAAGCTCCTTACCTTCACTTCCACCAAAGAAAGATCTCAGATCTCTATTTAGATACGGGGATGGATCCAGAGGAAAGAGGGGAGTGTGTACCCTTGTGAACAGAGGGACCGTGTCTCAGCATGTGTCAGCACTGGACGATGTGCGCGCCCATGCTGTACTCATCCTTGGCTTCACCATGCTCCCATGACTCAGTCGCTCTCTCTTCTGGCAGCAGACCTGGCAGCACGGCCAGGAACACATCTGCACAGAGCAGACTGGCATACACAGGCATCGCAAACATGCCCACAAGAGTCTGCTGGTCCACTAACAGCACAGCCAGAGCCACTTTCACACCACAGACTCCACAAGAAATACGCTCCTGCGCAAAACCAAGTACCAAACAGAAAGGGAACGTGTAGCACATTAGTGGAAGGTACCACTGATCAATGCAAGAGCAGAAAGGCTTGCTTTTGAGGGATGTACTGCAAATACTCAGCAAGTTCCTTAGCATCTAACATGTAAATCCAAGGCACAGCTAACTCTGAAGATGACCCAGCAACTCAGTATGCTAAAGTCCTTTGCACATGCTCACCTGGGGGAAGATAACTGTTTAAAGAAGTATTTTTCCTTCACAAGCTAAAAGCTTTGTTTGGATTGCAGCTAACAGCCATGGGGACACAGTGCTCCACATTGTGAAACAGCCCTTCCTGCAAGAGCGCCCAGCATGCCTCCCTGTCACAAAACACCATTCCATAGTGTTCATGCTCCAACCCACCAACAACTGGCAATGGGTGGGAGTCCAGCATCAGCATCGGGAACCCACGGTAGGCTAATCTTTGACTGATAGTAATGCTGTACTTACGCAGTTCCTCTCCTTTCCTCTCCACTGCCCCCTTCTCACACAGTTCCCCTCTGCAAGTTACCCACAGCCCCAGAGAGACCTAAAAGTGATGGCACAGCCTACAACCCTCTGCAGCCAGCCACAGCTTGACCACCCAAGCACCTCACCAGCACTGGCTCCTCCAGCAAAGCCCCATGCAGTGCAGGGACCTCACACCTGGGCTATGGAGAGAGCTGCCCTTACCTTGTCCCTCGCGCTCCAAGAGCAGAGTATTTCCCAGCACAGGATAGCAGGGACTGATACCCGGGATTGGCTTCATCACCCTCCATCGCCTCCAGTAATCCATCAGGGAGGGGAGGGAGCACACAGCCACAACTGCCAGCAGCACAGCAATGACCCCAGCCCCCACATACAGAAGCTGGGGTCCCCCCACGGCTTCCTGCACAACCTCCATCATCACCTCCCAGTCTCCTGCTCCAAGTCTCGATCCCTGGCAGGGAACCGGCACTGCCTGCACCCAGCTCTGCCTGTACCCTCCGCTGCCGCGCTGCAGCAAGGCGAGCGGGCCAGGAGAGCAGGAGGCGGAGCTGTCACATGGGCCCCAAGGCGCATCTTACTGCCAGGAAAATAAACAAAGATATAAACCACACATGCATGGGCAGGCTGCCAGCAAGCACTTTGTCACAGCAGAGCAGCCACAGGGAACTGTACCACCTCCTTGGCCTCGCTTGGCTCCTCTGACTCAAGTGAAGAGTGAGGAAGTTCTTTGCAGGCCTGTGCAATACCTCAGAAGGAAAAGACAGAAACCGATGTCAAGAGAAAAACCACCTTTCTGTTGATCTGGGGAGGACGGGTTTTCTCAATACGTCCTTTCTCCGTCTGTTTTCACGTGCTCAGGGAACACCATTTTGCCATACAGAACTGCTGCAGTGCTCTCCAACACGATGCCTGAAGGGTTTCAAGCGCTTCAGATGGGGAGCACCTTTCTTAAGTTGGGGTAAAGGCTCAAAGGGGTTACACAAACCAGAGCCCATACAGACCCATGATCAAGAGCACTGCAAAGGACACTGATGCTTCTCTTCTCAAATGGCCTTTGCTGATCTCACAGGTGAACACTCAGTCACAGGCTAAAGGGTGCCAGTAACATGGCTGGCAGCACCGGCCCCCGTATCACAACTTGCAAAGCACTTGGATAGAAGTAGTGACATACCCACCATAAATCCTCCTGCCCTTCCTGCCTCAGGAGGAACCAGGGCCTCTTCTCACTGCTGCAGGGCTGCCGAGCGCCTGTTCCTCAAAGCCTCCAATGCTCAGAAACCTTAGGGCCAAACAGAAGTTTGGTAAAATAGCAGCATGGCTTACACCCAATCTGCAAAAATTCACCCCCTGAATAAACCACAAAAGCTTCTTATTGCCATGGTCATGTTTCTCCTGTCTGTTTTATACCAAAATTGACTGCACCGGTATGTTTAGTAAACCAACAAACAGCATAAACAAAGCAGCAGAGGGGAGTAATTTTTGGCACTTTGTTCCTGCAATCTCCTGCAAGCAAACACCTAATCATAAATGGTGAATGTTGCCTTTTCCTGCACAGCAAACAGCTGGAAATGAACTTTGCTACTCTTGCTATTATTTGTAATGGTTTGTGACAGAAAGTAGCAGATAAATACCTTGTCTTGCCAACACATAAGGCAAGCTACATAGCCATCAGTCCCCTCTCTTGTCCCTGGAAGGAAGCAAGCACGCAGGATTAAGAGGCTCACCTTTTGTCTTTGTAACATGGAGATCAGGTGGGTAATTATATTCTCCTCTGTATATAAAACCTTGCAGTTTGTTTCCTTCATGGAGCTGATAATTAGATGAAGCACTTGCGATTCTCAGTCAAAAATCTGTGTTTCTAACTGTTAATAACTCCTTCTGCAGGAAAAAAACTGAAACACAGTGCAACAGCAGGGACGGGGTGAAAAGCCACAGGGAAAGCAGTAGGGAACACAGCAGAACAAACATTGCAAAAACCTGCCAGGAGCTGGCAATTGTGATGCTGCTACAAATGAAAGGCAGCAGTGACACTGGAAGGAGCCTCTGGTGAAAAGCACCAGGGGAGACTTGAGGCCAACCCCTAGAGTTTTGGAGTTGAGGATACAGAGGATCCAAGGCCCGCTATACTCCAATGAAAAAAACCAGATATTGGCAGCATGTGAAGGGGTTCAAGCTGCTTCAGGAGTGATTGGTACTGAAGTACAGCTCCTCCTGACACCCTGACTGCCGGTGGCTGGGCTAGATGCTCAAAGGGAGGGTCCCCTGTACACTTCATGCAACTGATGCTATGTGGAGTAAGTGGGTTGCACTGATCACAACGGCCTTGAACAGGAAATCCCAGTTGTCCAGGAATCTTGGAAGTGATCATGGGCTGGCCAGAAGGCCAGTCAGGAATATCACCAGGAGATGAGGCAGCATGTGCTGGAGGCCCCACTGTCTAATAAACTGCCAGAAAATGAGAAGCAATATGCCTGTTCACTGATGGGTCCTGTCATCTTGGCAGAAGGTATCAGAGGTGGAAGGCTGCTGCATGGAGTCCTACATGACAAGTTGCAGAAACTGCTGAAGGAGACGGTGAATCAAGTCAGTTTGCAGAGGTGAAAGCCACCCAGATGGCTTTAGATATTGCTGAAAGAGAAAAATGGCCAGTGCTCTCTCTCTATACTGACTCATGGATGGTGGCAATTGCCTCTGTGGGGGTGGTTGCAGCAATGGGAGCAGAGCAACTGGCAGCACAGAGGCAAACCCATTTGGGCGGCCGCATTGTGGCAAGGTATTGCTGCCCGGGTAGAGAACCTGGCCATAAAAGTATGTCATGTAGATGCTCACGTACCAAGAGTTGGGCCGCTGAAGAATATCAAAACAACCAGCAGGTGGATCAGACTGCTAAGACTGAAGTTGCTCAGGTAGATCTGGACTGGCAACACAAGGGTGAATTATTTCTAGCTTGGTGGGCCCATGACACTTCAGACCATCAAGGAAAAGATGCAACATATAGTCGGGCTCGTGATCGACGGGTGGACTTGACCATGGACACTATTGCACAAGTTATCCATGAATGTGAAACATGCACTGCAATCAAGCAAGCCAAGCACCATGGTTGAAGGAACCACTGGATGGCTGGAAACATACCCTGTGTCCTATGCCACTGCCCAGAACACTATCCTGTACCTTGAAAAGCAAGTCCTGTGGCGACATGGCACCCCAGAAACAATTGAATCAGACAACAGAACTCATTTCCTTAACCACCTCATAGACGCCTGGGCCAAAGAGCATGGCAATGAGTGGCTATATCACATCCCCTATCATGCACCAGACTCTGGGAAAGTCAAACGATACAATGGACTGTTAAAGACTATGCTGAGAGCAATGGGTGCTGGGACATTCAATCATTGGGATACACATTTAGCAAAGGCCACCTGGTTAGTCAACACTAGGGGGTCTGCCCAATCAAGCTGGATCTGCCCAATCAAAACTTTTATGCATTGTACAAGGGGATAAAGTCCCTGTAGCACACATAAAAAATATGCTGGAGAAGACAGTCTGGGTTATTCCTGCCTCAGGCAAAGGCAAACCCATTCCTGGATTGGGAAGTCTGATGTGTACCTCAAAGACATTTGATTTGGCGTGAAAATAGCCAATGAACTGAATGGTATGGTCATCACTTTTATGGTTGCTATATGCTGTATCAACAGTATTACAGTAAGAATCGCCCAGATTAACGAAGAATGAACTTTGACAAAATGAAGCAAAGTGCAGCAGTGATGGAACCAGAACTGGCTTCAGCATGCAACAATCCAACACCACACACCATCTCTCCTGCCCGGAAAGACTGTTACGACCAATGGAGACCAAAGTCATGGACTAAGTGAACTCAACCAGCACTTTAGAGGTATGGTCCATAGACTAAGGGAATGATATCTGTGTGCACATATCAAAAGGCAGGGAAGTGGTGATTAATTGGAATGTATTGGAAAGGGTAGGACCTGAGCATGACGTAGATGGTATAGACTAAGGGGTGGATACTGTCCCAGTTTCGGCTGGGATAGAGCTAATTTTCTTCCTAGTAGCTGGCACAGCACTGTGTTTTGGATTTAGTATGAGAAGAAAGTTGGTAACACCCTGATGGGTTAGTTGTTGCTAAGCAGTGCTTACACCAGTCAGGGACTTTTCAACTTCCTATACTCTGCCAGGCGCACAAGAAGCTGGGAGGGAGCACAGCCAGGACAACTGACCCCAAATAGCCAAAGGGCTATTCCATATCATATGACATCACGCTCAGTATATAAACTGGGGGGAGTTGGCTGGGGGGCAGCGATTGCTGCTCAGGAGATCTGCTGCAGGGCATCAGTCAGTGGGTGGTTAACAGTTGCATCACTTGTTTTTTTTCCCTCCAGTTTTGTTTCTCTCTCCTTCTCTTGTTTTCCTTTCCATTATATTTTTTTTAAATTATTATTTTATTTCAATTATTAAACTCTTCTTATCTCACCCCACAAGTTTT